CACTCTGACACTCTGTTTATAAGGGTGTACCACTCGGCCACAGGCCACATTATTCTCATTTCCGATGCTATCTGTAATTCCTCACCTCTATAAAGCTAGCCTTTAGAGTTTAGAGAAGGAAAGGAACAGGCATATCTGTGCATCTTTCTGAGCCCCACTGATAGGAAAATACAGCTTTGGGCTGGCCTGTTATGCTCTGATAGAAGATCTCACATTTCTGCTTGGAAGAAGGCATTTGAAGTGAAGACTTTCAAGAATTGGGCAGGGATCATATTTCTTGCTTAGCTCCCCTAATTTTCCTACTGACTTAATAATGTATAAATAAACTGTTAAGTGAATTGCAGGAAGGTGATGCAAAATAGATCAATATACATTTCATCTAGATGTGATGCATATTGCTTTAGAGGATTTATTATGATCAATTAATCTATAAAAATGATAGTGGAATTCCCAATGTATGTAAACGAGTTGTTTTGATTTATATATTTATATTTATCTTTAGGCCCTACACTGAGATCTAGTTCTTAGGTGTATATGAATATTTAGTTCTAACTTGCATGGTATGTTAGAACAAACTGTTCATGAACATGAAGATAGATCTCATTCTAATACCTGAATGATCTTTCTGTGGTTATTCAGACAAAACCTGAGAGACAATTGAAGATAGTATCAATTTTCTTTTCATCAAGATCAACCCTTATTTTTGGATATCTACAGATTTTCCTCTCATTCCAAAGCAGCAGTTTACTTAACTTAGACTTCCGAGATTCTGTCTGGATGCCAATGACATAGTTGTCATAATTGTTATTAGCGGTCTCTGAAGCTTTTATCATTGCCATTTCCTTTTTAACCTGACCAGCTTCTTCATTTCTTCAGCCCAAAGCACTAAAATGTGTATTTGTCCTCCAATTCCTCCTGGAGTTGCATTTCTCTACAAAAGCTGTTTATATCCAAACTCAGAGCTGTCTAGGAATCTGCATATGTCTCGGGAGGAAATTGTATTTTGTACCACTGTTCTCTCCTTCAGGTTCATAAATGAAACAAATCTCCTTAGATAAAGAGCTTTGCGGTTCATTAGCAAATAGATGAAACTCAGATGCCACATCAAGACTTAGATCTCTTAAGCCTTTGAAACAACAACAGCTCTCTACGTAAGCATGCAGTTCATAGCCCAGATCATCATCTTCTGGCAATGGATGGAGTGCCTAACAATGTATTAATCCACTGAGTAACAAGTGCTAGGTTACTTTCTCAATATTTTTGAACAGTTTGTCCTTACTCCAGAACAGAGCAGTGTTTTTTAAATAACATACTCTTTTTACACTGGTATCACTATTGTGCTTCTTAAAGTGACATTCTAGCACTGTGAATCATGTTACAGCAATGATATTAATATGATATATGAAAAATTACTCCACCAGGGCATTCAGTTAAAAATAACTCTGACATGCTACACTTAATAAAATTTTGTTTGTAATATATTTATAGTTTTAACTTGAAGATATTCACGTAAATGACTAGAATTCTCCTACCAAAAATAACACTAAGAAATAAATATTGCACTTCCTTTTCTCCCTTTCTTCTCCCTCCCCTTCTCCCTCTCTACTTTCCTCTCTCCCTCCTTCCATCTTCTTTCCTTCCATCTTCCCTTCCTTCCTTCCTTCCTTCCTTCCTTCCTTCCCTCCCTCCCTCCCTCCCTCCCTATTTTCCTTCCTTCCTTCCATCTTCCCTCTTTCCTTCCTTCCTTTCCTTCCTCCCTTCCTTCCTTCCTTTCTTCTTTCCTTCCTTCCTTCCTTCCTTCCTTCTTTCCTCCTCCCTTCCTTACCTCTCTCTTTCCTTTTTTCCCCTCTCTCCCTTTCTTCCTTCTATTTTCCTTGTTTCCTTTTCTCCTTCCTTCTCTCTTTCCCACCTATGATGGAAAAGTTGTCTTCAATATCCTTTGCATTGCATCAAATATTGATAAAAGAATGAGGAGAACCACAGCTGTTAATTGGTGTCGGGATGTAGTATACACCCAATGCAATTTTTGTTTAGTTCCAGTGGCTCTAAACCTAAAAAGAACCCAACAAAGCACACAGAATTGGACAATAATTAATTACAATTGACATTTTCCTGGAAAGTGAGTTCCTTTTGAATAACTATTACTTTCATGGCTATATATTCTGTATATAATCCATTGAAGCACATACTTATTTTCTTATAGGAGTTTCCTTAGGTGACCAATGTTGATGACGATATGTCCTTCAAGGTATGGTCCAAATTCATGAGAGCTTGTCGGGAAACCAAAATGTCATTTTGAACCCTAGTAGTTGTGAAAGCAAGCACATATGAACTACAGACGAGGAAACATCTACTATCTGTGATTTTAGGACAAAGTTTTGCCAACACCTGATAAAACTGATTTATTCAACAGATATTAGCGAGAATTTGCAAGTTGCAGAAACAGGAGGCTAACAGACATTTTTCTGATAGAAGTGAGAGCTAGTCTAGCCTAGGCTGACAAGAATGGAGCACACAATCAGTTTATAGTGCTGTTTCCTTTTATAAAAAGCTTCTTGTGTATTCCAGCATTTCTCCTTAACAAGTCTTCTGAGAAACTTTTCCAATTCATCTCACAGATGAGACTGCACTTTGGTAGAATTTTTTAAAATGGAAACGGAGCTCTCTTTTGGGGGGAAAACAGAAGAATCAAAACAAGGATTTCGTTTCACTTTGATAAAGACAAGGGAACACTCCCACTGTTGGCAAATCGACAAGCACGAAATCCATATTTTGTTCCATGAGGCAAAAATTAATCTGAGCTGTTAACATTTGTTATCTCAAATGCTGAAGAATCATACACTCCATAACCATGTTTTTTTTTTTTTTTTGGTGTTATTAAGTCAGAGAGAGGTGAGAGGCAGGATGTGCACAGATTGTGATTTTTATGAACAAGTGAATTTATCTGCTCAACCCATTTCAAACAGTGATGGGAATATTTCCAAATCTAGTGTTGATTCTGCTTTTTATGTAGTATCGCCTGCTTTCCTAAGGGATCATGTGAGGAGGGGACCAGCCCACATGTCTCCTACACAGTATCAGTCTGACTGATATGTCCTGTGTATTCATTAGGTAAGCAAAAACAATTAGTCAGTGTGATTGAAGTATCAGTTTGTATGGAGGGAAAGTTCATGGACTTCTCCATCCACTTGCAAACTAAAACCATATGCAGAGATGGGAGCTTTCCAGTCAAAGCTTTACCCACCAGAGTCAACATAAAGACAAGATGTAGCACACAGAGGAAAAACTCACTACTTTGCACAGTAAGCATGATAGAAATGCTTACCTCCATAGTACACCAACAGGTAGGTGTTTTCTACTGAGATTTAAAATATAATTTAGGAAATATTTATCCCTGAGCTAGAGGAGATCCATGTGACTCTACACTGTTGCAAAGCCTTCTGTGTTAATTTAGGTCAAAACTCCACAATGAGAAGACCAAGTGAAATGGACCATGTCTTTAGCAATTATTTTGTGACGGATTTATTGACTCTCTATCATGGATTACTGTATCTAGGCCATGGTTAAACTGGAATGGGTTCATCTTCACTCTCATTAGGGCCTGTTGCATTGCATGGTGGGGGATGCTAAAAGTCTAGGATGCCCTGTTTCTTCCTATGCCTTTGGCTTTGTTTAGAACTCTTCAAGTTATAGCGATATCCCCTATGTCAGACTGTTTACTTTACAATGAACCTCCTCAGTAAATGCGTTTCTTCAGAGAGCAGCTCCCTGGGGTGTATTCTTGGCTCTCTTTACTTTCCATGATTCTCTTTATATTTTCTGAGACAATCTCCTTTAGTTCTTCTCACTCTAATACATTCATACTGATGATAGAAACATGACCTGTGTTTCAAAGAAAGTGGCAATTTAAGAACAGTCTTCAAGCTCCACAGAAAATCTTGTATTGATCTCGTAGGTCATACATACATTTTTCTGAGGGCAGACAGATGTTACTTTTTTTTTTTTTTTTTTACTTCTAATTGGGAATCTTAGTAAGATTTGCATACAGCATGTCTCATTTTAATTGTATGAGTCTGTGATGGAGTAGAAGGCTGAGGGGTAAGGAATTACTTTAATATTATACTTCCATAAAGTTAATGTGAGACAACATACTTGGAACTTGTTAAATCAACTCAAGTTTGGGACCTCACTTTGGTTTAAACATTCTTCCTGTTCCATCAAATGGTCATCTCAATACTCATCTTGAAATATTTTCAGTGATTTACCTACTTTTCTGAGTTGAATCCACTTAAATTTCTATACTGAGTTAATATATAAGTAAATGTATAGGGATGGATAATAAAACCAAATAATCTTAAGAGTTATTGTAGTGATACTAACATATTGTAGTCATGTTATTAAAATGACAATGATCATGCAAAAATATTAAATACTATTATGAGGTTTAATTATTTTCCTAGTTGGTACTTACCCAGTAAGTTTGGACTATTATGTTTAACATGACTCATCCTAAATAAAGCAAAACTCTACCCAGAGGAGATACTTTGTCCTTCTGCACCAACGTCTACCAACCACAAAACCACAATTAATTGCATTGAAAAGACTGAAACATTTCTCATATCCAATATACTCAGATAAGTTGGAAATGGATACCTACTGGTGAATGAATCATAATGAAATAAAATCTCAAATTTTTCCATTCCACAAGATTAGAGCATCCTTCATACTTATTTGTCAAGCCCTGGTCTATCATGGGAATCTTTAGAAGAAGAATAATCGTAGCTACAATTTATTAAGTTCATCTTGGTCTGTATTACGTTTCTTATACTCAATCACAAAGGACTGAGACCATTCAATCCTCAGAGGTATATTATGAACTAGATGATATGACTATTTTTCCCTATTACATTTTTTAAAAAAAATTAGAAAAGTTTTGACGACTTTACCAAACTCTTATTGCTTAAAATATTTGTACTGGTTGAGAGACAGTCCCACCAGACACTGATGGCTGAAGCCTGTAACCCTAGGAACTCAAGAGACTAAGATCTGAGGATCATAGTTCAAAGCCAGCCCAGGAAAGAAAGTCTATAAGACCCTGATCTCCAATTAATGACCAAAAAGCCAGAATCAAACTGTGGCTCAGGGGTAGCACCCAGACTCTGAGTTCAATAGTGGAGGATTGGCACACACACACACACACACACACACACAATTGCACCTGAGTAGTTACTTAACAATGATTATTTGTATCTAATTCTGGATATCTCTAGAAACAAATTATGCTTTCTTTACTACAAGAGGCATTTTCTTGGTAGAGCAGATTACTAGGTTTTCTACTATGATAACAAAATTCCTGGGGCTAAGTATTTTACAAAGAGGTTTATATACCTGCCAGATCTGGAAGTTCACTGGCATTGTGACTGTCTCCTCTTGCCCCTGATAAGGATCTGGCCATATTGGATCATGGTGGATGACAACAAGGCAGAAGCACATTTGGGAAGAGATCACATGACAAGTCAGAAATTCAGAGAGAAAAATGTGACTTTTCTGCTGTCTTATAGTAACTCACTCTCACAAGAAATAACTGGGATCCCACTATAGCTACTTAATCCCTGCTCAAGGAATTAAGTCCCAGCTCCTAAAGATTCCAACACGTGAACACTGAGCCTTTGATACACAAACCCTTAGCCAACTCTATGACAGTATCCATGGAAGTCTTTGGTTTCAGAATCCAAGCCATATTTCTTTCTCCTAGAATCCTCTTCTGATACCATGTAGTTGACTTCCTACCAAGTCCCTGGGTAACCTTATCCAATCATGGTCTTTCTCTAATATGATCCAGATCTCAGACGCTTTTACACATTGTCTAGATTTCTTGTAGACATGGTGGCTTTTGCAACATGGTGAGTTCTGTAAGGTAGATCACCAAAGGGGGCTTAAATCTATAAACTTGTCCCATGCACAGCTTTTGATGTGCCTTTTCATTGTGAGGTGTTATAATACTCATTTCTCCTTTCTAATAGTGTTCATTTTCATCCCCGAGAAACCTCTCAACATCCAAAGAATTAATGCAATTCATAAAACTAAGGTTGAGTCTATGTGTAAATATGATACACAATTACCACCAACTAACTGGATCTATTTAATTAACCATTGACGAGTTTCATGGAATGAATTGTTTTTCTGTCACTGTTGACTATGGTCAATAGTATTATGGTCATGGTCAATACTATTGACAAAGTTATCTAATTTAAGGTAGGTCCTGGTAAAGCTAGTATGTACTCAAAATGATGAAAACTTTTGCTTTCTTGATTTTTTCTTGCCCATAAAATTTGATCTCTTATTAGTGGTTTGGAGAACTGGTCCTTCTGACTTGTGGATGCCAATGACAACTAAACCAAGGACACTTGCTCTGTCTGATTATATCAACCTGCCTCGGATTGAGTTTGAGAAATCGAAATCTAGTTGGGAGAATGACTAAGAAATGAGCATGTGACTTTTCAGAAAGAAAATGAACAATTTGTACTTTTGACCCTTTGAGGAAACAACTATAGTTGTTTAATGGGATCACAATAATGGGTGACTTTCATGCATATACTTTAAGCTGGGAACTAAATGGGCAAAATCTTGAATAATGTAATTACTTCACCATCCCTCCTCAGATGAAACACCTGTCACTTAAGATTTTTATTGATATTGTCTTGATTTTCTTCAACTGAGAAGCAAAGCTATTTGGAGCCACTTATATGCATTTATTAGAACTTGTTAATGTCCATATGTAATTCTAAACTATATGCTTTTTTAAAAAATGTCAGTAGTGAGGATTGAACTCAGGACCTGGGTGGTATCCTTTACAGCCACATATCCACTTCTAGCTTTTTGGTGGTTAATTGGAGATTAGAGTCTCGTGGACTTCCCTTTCCCAGCTGGCCTCAAATCCTAGCTAGGATTACCTACATAAGCCATCAGTGCCCAGCAACTGTATATGTCTTGTTCAACCATTCTACAACACTCCAAAAAAGCTTGTTAATGGGTAACATTGAGCTCAGATTCGACAGCAAGACTTTGTCTGCCTGAGTTAATCTTTTATTGGAAATCATTTCTCACTATGGTTATTCTTCTGTTGAGGTTGTTGGAACCACATTTATTTATATGACAAGCACTTGATATAATACTATTTGTATGGTTTAGTTGTATAATCACCAGGGTGAGGATCAATACAGACAATAGAGCAAGTCCCTATATGAGTTTATAGCCACTCTTCTGTATTATAGTACAGATTGTATACACTGTGCATAGATTGGTCCTCATTTCTCCCCCTGCAATTTGAGAATCTGAACACTCCCAGCAAGATGAAGAGTTTTCCTTTGGCTGATCCCAAAGGAGCTTTCAAAATGCACACGCCTCATTGTTAATATAATATATGCAATGACTATAACATCAGAACAAATCTACAACTAAAACAAGGCTGTGGGCAATTGTGTTGAGTTACATTTTGAAGAATACTTGAGCTAATTGTCCTCTGGGTATCTCTAGCTCCTTCTGTATATGATGCCAACTCACACAACTCCTCAACCATGCTTCCAGGATTTGGGACCATTTATCTTAAACACTTGACTAACACCCTTAGATAAGTATTTTGTCAAAAAGAGCTAAAAAGGCTCTTTAGCTACAGACTCAAAATCATCTCACCGTGCACAAACAAAACCAATTTGGGAGTAAATTGGAATGGTTTCTGATGTCTCCTGTAGCCTTTCTCCTCAGCATGGATTCAAATGTCATAATATTTAATGTTTTAAGATGACAGTTGCTTATTTATTTACCAGAATTGGAAAGAGATAAAAGTAATTCGGTATAATCCCTTAGAAAGGTAAAGTCAAAGTTCAACAATGTAAACATCAGAAAGCAGGTATTTGAAAGGGGTGAGGTGGGGTCCAGAGAAAAGGGGTAGATGAATGAAGACAAAAAGAGGGGTAGAAGCAGTCATGAATCCAATGGCTATCCTTTAATATTAAGAAGAAGGAGGGAAGAAGTGGGCAGGGGAGGGGTGGGTGAGGATTGAAAGGGGTGACACTGATCACAATGCATTGTAAACATAAACTGCTTTGTTTCTTCACACCACAACATAAAGATAATAAAATTATTAAAAATTAAAGCAAAGAGAACTGAAATGAAACAATCTGTCCTTCCACAAAGATATGTAAGCACTCTTTTCAGCCAAGACTTAGTCTACTTATCAATTACTATCAAAAGCCCAGGTGAGGGAACAAAGAGAAATTGTTTTTCTTACTATGTGCTTCTTTTACTGGGCCCAAACTCAGGGTCATAAATTCAAGCTTTCACTCAAGGCTGGTGTTCTACCACTTGAATCATACCTCCCTTTCCATCTTTTTGCTGGTTAATTAGAAATAACAGTCTCTCAGATCTGGCCCAGGCTGACTTTCAATTTTGGTCCTCAGATCTCAGCTTCCTGAGTAGTGAGTAATACAGATGTGAGTCAGTAGTGTCTAGTATCTCTTCCTATATACTTGTATCACAATGAGCACAGAGGCACGGAGATATGTTTTATATAGTAAAATGTATGTCTCAATCTTTTGCAAAAGGAGTTATTACCTTCCTGGGAGTGGATATTCTAAGAAAACTGAGAAACAGAAGGAGAAGGAGAAGAAGATGGAGGGAGAGAGAAACAGAGAAAGAGAGAAAGAAATAAAGAGGGAGGGAGGTCAGAAAGGAAGGAGGAAGGGAGAGGGAGATTTCTGATACTATGCCAGGAGAAAGCCTGCCTGGCCAGTTTAGGGAATTGACTCTCAATGGGGTATTTTGCTATAAACAGGATTGCCAACTTCTGTCTTGGTAATTTCCCATCTGGCAAGTACAATGTGTGTTGATTTACACAATTGATATTTTGAAGGCAGGGGCAGTAAAACTTAAAACACAGCACACATTTACACACACACACACATGTTAGAGAGCTAAGTATCAATCTCAGCATCAATGGCTATTTTTTGTTTCTCCATAAGTGTTTTGGAATTAGAGAGTTAGATATTTCTGGTTCGCGTGTGGTTTTGTAACACACTGGAGGGCTAAATTATATCTTGATTATAATATGAAAGAATCAGAGGAAATGCATACCCAAGGTTGGTCTGGTCTACACACATATTCTTGTCCCTTAATCTAAAACTTAATAAAGTCTTTTGGCTGAATAGATTCTTACTGATAAAACTATTTCTATTAAAGTGATTACTTTTAGCATATATCTGGATTCTTCAGCTTCCAACTTTAGATAGTCTCAATTTGTCTTCTTTCTTTTTTTTGCTAGAAGGAAATATGATAGTTTTCCTTACTTTTTTGAACTTTCTTATTTCTAAAAGCCTAGAAAAATCAAATTCCCAGTGAAGTGTGTTCATTGAATGAGCCTCAGGTTGAAAGCATTCATAACCAAAGGACTTGTAGGTAAGCATCATCTAGTTGCTTCCAGAATGTTCTCTCATTAATGCCTACTGAATTCAGGCATTCGGCTGTGCAACCCTTTGTATAGCTAATCATTGGCTCAATCATAGTTTTTTTCCCCCCCCCCCAGCATTATCTTTGGAACTTACTGTTATGTGAATATTTAAGAAAGGAGAGCAAATTGCAATGCGTGAGGTGATTTCCCATGTGTATATTTTAGTTGAACAGGTTTGAATAGTTATTCTAGAAGTAAGTACGTACTTTTTTCAGCATTGTACTCTAGAACTTGCAAGCCATCTGAATGCACAAACATACAAGTATATATACACACACACACGTATACACCACAATTATTATTATTATTTACTCCATCTATGGAGTGAACTTCTTAAAACTTTAAAATTCTAATTCCAAATGGTCGCTGCTTAGAAAAAAAAGTGTGTGTGTGTGTGTGTGTGTATTTGCTGCTAGATTTATCATCCAACTTATGTGAATGTGGCAATGAATTTGCATTCTCTAAGCCAGCTCCTATTGTACAGAGAGACAGGAGAGGTTGGGTGGAGGAGGAAGGGAAGGGAGTGGCATCTAAAGATCACAGGAGTGGGCAGGTTGTGTTCCTGGCTCACACAAGCATGGAA